GAGGAGGGGAAGCTCCCGCCACTGCATGCCACTCATCTGAAAGCTGCTTGTCCAGTGCCTCATCCAGCACTTGCCCCCCACCATCCCCTTCCTGATGAGCCACAGCTCTGTGCTGCGCCCACTCCACCCCACCCTGGCTGGGCAATGCTTGGCACAGCCCCTGGCCCAGCCCCACACCCTTCCTCACTGGAGGGGCCTTGATCTCCCTTCCCTCTCCTTCCACCACATCAGACTTACCAGCTGGAAGCAGCTCTCCATGCTGCTGGTCTGGGTATCAGAAATCAGATCGGTATCAGCCAATATGCTTCCTTAAAAACTGGCTATCAGTAATGGCTGCAAAAATCTCTATCGGTGCACCCCAGTCAGATCAGAATTACCAGAAATGACTGGACGAGGGTGAACAATGCTGACCATTACACCTGACTCTACTTAGCACTTATGCTAGGATAATCTAATTAAACCTAAGCATCCTTATGAAGTAGGTAATCAAGTATTATCCCCATTTTATAGATTGGATAAAATGAGAGACATTAAGTGGCTTGTTCAACCAGCAGCAAAGCTAAAACAAATCTTAGATTTTCTGTTGGTCAATCTTTCACATTCAATGCACTGAGCATTTTACCTAATGGCAGGTGCTGTTGTCTTCTAAACTGGCATAAAATACATGATCAAAATAGAAAAATAAGATGTACATCCCCAAAATCTTGCTATTTTCATGAGCATCATAAACAAATGTGTTTAGTAAATGGATCCTACTTCACCCCACTTTTACATTTAACATAGGGACAAATATGTCACCATCAAACAAGATATAAACTGTTCTAGTCTCCAAAAATTTTCATTTACTGTTGCTGTCATCTTGTATAAAAGGGCAATTTTGGGGTAGTAGAACCATGACTTTCTAATATGACATGAAAGGAGTTATTTTTACTCTTGGGGCATCTACAAAGGTAAAAACACCTTCCATAATGCAATCTACTGGATAAAAAGCATTAAGATTTAAGACTTATTTTAACAGGATAATTAACTTTAATCTTCATCCTCATATTTATTTAAACAAGCAAGTCAAACTGTCAGTGTCCACATATAAGACCTGCAAGAAAACAGATGTATTGGAGCAAACTGACTTTAATCACAAGTTGTAATTAAATTTTTTTCCTAATGTTTAATTAGGCAATGTACAGTAAAATCTTTGTTATCTGGCATTTAAGTAACCAGAAATTTTATTAACCGGAATTTCTGGCTGGCCAGTTGGCCAGCTGGACACAAGGGGTAGAAAAGCTTGCACCCTGCACTGCTGCTGCTACCCCTCCCTTCCCCCATCCCTGCTCAGTGTGCGGCCTCCATGCCCTCCCCACCCCCATGTTATCTGAAAACCCTTGCAGGGTTTCATAGATTCATAGACTTTAAGGCTGGAAGGGACCTCAGAAGATCAATGGGTCGAGCCCCCTGCACCAAGCAGGAATGACAACTAGGATCAAGTTACCCCAGCAAGGTGATGGTCCAGTCTCCTCTTGAAGATTTCCAGAGTAGGTGATGGTACCACATCTGAAGGAAGTTTATTCCACAGTCAGGACACCCTGATGGTGAAGAAAGTTTTCCTAAAGTTGAGTCTGAAATGGTCTGTGGCCATTACTCCTGATTTTCCCCTTGGGTGCCCTGGTGAACAGCTGTTCACCAAGCACTTGATATGCTCCCCTAATGTAGCAGTAAACTGCTACCAGGTCTCCTGTCAGCCTTCTCTTTTTCAGGCCGAAGAGTCCCAGGTCCTTCAGCCTTTCCTCGTATGGCTGGCTTGTTGTTCAAGTCTCTGATCATATGGGTGGGCCCTTCTCTGGACTCTCTCAAGCTTATCCATGTCCTTGTTAAAGAGCAGCGCCCAAAATAAAAGTGCGGATTATTTCAGATAACCGGAATTTTTACATAACTGGCAATCCCCTTACCCCAAGGATGCCAGCTAACAAAGATTTTACTGTAATAATAAATTCAGGTATTACTATTGTTTCCACAGAAACACAGATGCCAAACAGAACCCAATCTACTATATTCACTAATGTGACATGAATAACTGTGGTGGTGATCTATATCCAAATATGGAAATATCTTCTAAAATAAAAACAAAAATAGTACCAAAATAGGTCTGTTCAAAATGTTCCCATTTTCCAAGTTGGATTTAATATGACAAGACATCTTTTAAAGTCACAGAACACATGAAATACAAATTTAGAAAATATAGCAGCATTGGAAATGATCCCAATTTAGGTCACTGCAAGCAGCTATGGGTAATTCTGTACTATTTCTAATGGAGCTGCTCTGAATTAGTATTTCAAAGACTTGCCATAGATTCTCTTTCCACAACTGCTTTAAATGTTGTAAAATAACTCCATACTGGTGAACTGAAGGCAAGAGACTTGTATGTAAACAGTGTTTTCTCCATTTAATATGAGTAAGTTTTAACATTCTGAATTCAAATTGTAGCAGAACACAACTAAGAGGAAAAAATAAGGATTGTACCTTATCTAAAAGAACTTCACTCTTCTTCACTTCTAGAACCTTGGAGAGGTAACGACACAGCTCTGCATTTGCCTCCCCGTCTGATGGAGGTGCAGCAATAGCTACACTTACTGCCTCAGTTGTCACATCTATAATAAAAACATTAGCATTTTATCAAGGTACTCAACAAGGTCTACTTTAAAAACGTACGGTTCCTATTTTTAGAATTTTTTTTTGTTTAGGACAAAATAAAAACCTCTCAATAGTGTATTAGATAACAGATCACATAATATTGACTATTAAGACTATTCACTTCAGTTGTATTTTCCCATTTACCAGCAAGACTAGTTAGCTCCTCAAATGCATGTGCCTTCTGAGAAGAGTGGGCCCTTGACATCAGAACCCAACACTTCTTTCCCTTTCCATCCTTCCTCATTATAAGTCAATCACTCCTATGCCATTCAGATTGTCTTCTCCAATTGTCAATGTGGTTGTTTTTTTATACAGCTCATTCTGATGATCATAACCTGTATTGTGACAATACGCTAGTATCCGTTACCAATAGTTAAATTCACACTACACTATCAGACACCTGTTGGACCAGCATCTCAACCTGCGGTACGTGTAGCCCTGGGGGTACGCGAGACACAGGCAGGGGATACGCAGGTATCCCAACACTCTCTTACCCGCTTTTCCTCTCAGAACTATGGCAAAAGATTTGGTGCACCACACATTGCATAGCACTTTAATTTCCCCAGTAATCATTTGGCGTGCTGCGCTTTGCACGGCACTGGGTTCAGCCCTCCTAGCTTTGGCCTACATCACCTCTAGCCTAGGTACATACTTGAGTTGTGCACCCCGGTGTAAAAGGTGGCAACCCTACCCACACCAGATCAGACGTGTGTCATATCACAGCCTTACATACACAGCCCTTCTTTTAACATATGGCACACATTAGTCTGTAAACACAAAATCCCACGAAAAATTGAGCGTTGGGATACTTGTTAAAATCTACAGAAGTTAGGGGGTACTTGCTACTTAAAAAGTTGAGAAACACTGCTGTAAAGGACTTTTTGTACTTAAGCCTACAAGCAGGGCAGCCCTCATAGGCAGGCTGTCCAAACCTGCACTCACTGCTTATCTCAGAGAATTGGAAGTGAATGGGCAGATTTTATTATTATTACTATGAATAATAGTAATATACATACATATGTACATAGACATATAGACATAGATGTATAGACATAAATATGATAAATATTATTTATTGTGATATAATGCTCTCACATCATTTTAATCCTACTTCTCATCAAAGCCCAGCCCCGAGCCAACACAAGCCGAGCTGCGAGGGAAAAATGTGTTCAGCTGCTTTCAAAAGGAAGCGGTTGAGCCCCTGCCTACCCCGCACGTCAGCTGGCCTCACCCCCGGAGCGCGGAGAGGAAGGACACCAGCTGCCCGCCCTCCCGGGGACCCCCCCGGCTGCTTCTCCCTCAGCGAAGCCCTAAATCCCCGCGGGGCGGAGAAGCGGAAGGCGCCACATGCAGACGGGTGGCTTCCTGCCTCACGGTCAGACCGGGCCGGGCGCGGACCCACCTGTGACAGCGCTGAGCCGGGCGCCGGGCTTGGCGTGGACGGCGATGGTGACGCTCCCATCTCTGCCCGCGCCCACAGGGCTGCTGCTCGTCCCTTTCCCCGACAAGACACGACCCGCCGAGGTCACCGGCGCCGTCCCCTCCCGGCCCGCTAGACGGACCTTCCTGGGCATGGCCCGGCCGCCGCTCCGCGCCCAACCGCGCAGCCCCGCGCACCGCCGACGGAAGCCGGCGAGAGTCAACATCATGTAGGGCCGCTCGCGGCCCGCACTTCCGGCAACAGCAGCAAACTCCGCCCACCGCGGCTGCAGTGAGGCGGCGGGGTTTATACACGGGCTGGTGCGGCTCTGGAACTTCAAGGCATAAAATCAAAGTGGGGGGTGGAAGGGACCTCAGGAAGTGGCTTGGCCAACCCTGCTCAAAGCAGGACCAGCCCCAACTACATGTCCCAGCCAAAGCTGTCTAGCTAGGTTTTGAAAACCCCCAAGGATGGAGCTTCCACCTCTCTAACAACCTGCTCCAGTACTCTACTACCCTCCTAGTGAGAACAACCTTCCTACTATCTAACCTGAACATCCCTTGCTGCAACTTGAGCAGTCTAGCTCCATCCTCTTTTGAACCCCCCTTCAGGTAGCTGAAGGCTGCTATTAAACGCCCTCTCAGTCTTCTCTTCTCTAAACTAAATAAGCCCAGTTCTCCCAATCTTTCCTCAGAAGTCATATTCCTCAGCCCCCTAAACATTTGTTGCCCTACTCTGGACTCTCTCCAACTTCTCCACATCCATTCTGTAGTGGGGGGCCCAAAACTGAACACAGTACTCCAGATGTGGCCTCAACATTGCTGAAAAGAGGGAAATAATCACTTCCCTTGACCTACTGGCAACACTCCCACCAAAGCAGCTGAGGATGCTGTCAGCCTTCTTGGCAACAAGGGCACGCTGCAGGCTCATCTTCAGCTTATTATCCACTGTAACCCCCAGGTCCTTTTCTGCAGACAAAAAAGAAACTGACCACTTCAGCCTTTTCTGCATCCCATCACAAGGTTTCCTCCCCAATTCAGTAAGGGACTCACTGCCACCGATCCTCCTCTTGCTACCACCCATGCTTATAGAAACCCTTCTTGTTACCCTTTACATCCCTTGCTATGTGCAACTCCAATTGCACTTCAGCCTTCCTGACTTCAGCCCTGCATGCCCAAGCAATGCTCTTATAGTCTTCCCTAGCTATTTCTTCAAGTTCCCACTTGTTATAAGCTACCTTTTGCGATTTAGTTTACTGAAGAGTTCCCTGCTAAGCCAAGCTGGTTTTCTGTCATGCTTGCTAGTTTTCCCACACATCAGGATGATTTGTTCCTGCACTCTCAGTAAGGCTTCCTTAAAGTACAGCCAGCTCTCCGGGACTCCTCCCCAGTCTGGCTTCCCAGGGGATCCTGCCCATGAGTTTCCTGAGTGAGCTGACGTTTGCTTTTCTGAAGTCCAGGGTCCTTACTCTGTTGCTCTCCATCCTTCCTTTCCTCAGGACCCTTTCCTCAAAGTCAACCTTGTTTTACAGCCTGAACTAGATACCGTTCTCCCTCTGGCTAAATGGACAATTAGCTTAGGCAAGAAACTGCTGAATGAACAGGAATCTCCAACCTGTCATTTTCACAGAACAAGGAGGGAGCAGACTTGTCCCAGGTCCAGAAATCCCCCAGTCCGTGCCCATCCACAAGTGCTTCTTTGCGTCACTTAGAACTGTGCTTGCTCCTTCTGCTGCAGCAGAAACAGCTACAAACTTCTTTACAAGAGCATGTTAGACACATTCCTTAGTAGGGCCAAATGAGCGGTTAATTTCACTACCCTAACCGCCCTCTGGGTTAGAGTCCCTTCTATCTTAACTTTTTAAACCAGGTTACCACTAGGAATTGTGTTCCCTACAGCTCAGCAAGTAAATGAAGAGCATGTATTGGAACACACATGAACTGCAATATGTGAAATATCAAAAGGGATTTGCCACTATACAAAATTATATATACAGAATATAGAAGCTGAGTTTAATATTCTTAATATCCTTAAAAAGCTATGCAACATCTTGAATTACAGGCCCCAAACTAGAATAAAAATGACAGTAAGGAAGGACAATTTCAGACCCACTGATCATGATTCTATGAGTTCTACTGTCATCCAGCAAGTAAGGAGGAATATGCCTTTTAGTAACAGCCCTGACTCAACACTGCTTTCCAAAACTCCAATAATAGTCATCGTTTTTAAAATCTTTATGAGCAGATCAAAAGACTGAACTAAAAAAGATTTACTGAAGATGAATTGAGTTTTCCACATCCCATGAAAGAAAACTGATGTGGTTAAGTGTGATTACTAAACCACTGGAATAAAATACTATCAAGTCAATACTGGCTTCTTGATTCACCAGAGCGTTGCAGTCTTGATCAAGACTCATGCATTTGCTGCAGCTTAGCAGGAAAACAGAAATTCACGGGAAGTTTTTCTGGGTGTTTAACTGAAATGTAAAAATTACCTTAGCCACAAAAAAAAATGCTTATTTAAATTCAATAATTACACATTTTTTGAAGAATTATTTTTGTACTAGACACTTTAATTGAAATCTTCATAAATAGCAGTTTAATGTCATGTCATATCAAACTGGTCAATTCTACCTGAATTGTTACAGTACTTTAAAAAAAGAATTAAGAATTATTTGCAGTCAAAAGTGGTGCAGGATTTTACTCACTCATTTTGAGCTCATTTTAAAAATAAAATGAACCTGATCCAGTTACTGCATATTCATCTATTAAACAGATATTACTGGCATTACACTTTTTTCTAAATAGTATAGCATTATTTCTGTAATGTTATATCAGCTAAAATGATAGTGATTTATTGTAGACTAGTTAGTGGGAGCATGCAGAATCCTGCAGAGGGGACAGGAATTTTTTCACTGTTGAACTATGTTTCTGTACATCTACAGATAATACTATCTATGGATATTCACTGTACCATTTGGAGGATTGTATCCCGTCATGTTACTTGAGTCACTGTAGATATATTTTCTAGGACTTATTGCACAAAACAGATACTTAGATCATACAGATTTTAGTAATGATTAATGTTAGAGCATCCAGTCATAAAATATTATCAAGAGATTTCTTGTAGTCTCAGATTTTCATAGACATTTTTGCAGGCACAGATTTATATACAATTGCCATTTCCATATCAATGTATATGTTCCAATACCATACTAAAAATACCAATTTCTGAATGAAAACTAAAATTGTGGAAGTACTGTACGCTGCAGATCTTGGCTGTAAGTACACGATATTTTCTTTAAATACAATTCCAGGTAATTTTTAGAGTGCTTACTCAGTTAATTCTTCCTGGCTCATCCAGTAAGTTAAGACGAAAGGAACATACCTACGATACAGTTTTGATAATGTACTACTTAAAAAAATGTAAGTAGTCATTTGACCCTGCAGAGACCATTCCAAGAACATTTAAAGAGAAATGCAACTCCAGAACAGAGCAATAGAGCTTTCTAAAAACAGGAAAAAAACATATACCAGAAGTCCATACCAAACAAGGACCTTCCAGTTCAAAGGAGGATTTTCACCATATACTGAAAAAGTGCAAGTACTCATAGAAATAAAAGCCCAGAATCACAAGATAACTTTTAAACAACCTTTACAACATAGATTGCTCCTTACTTCCAAGGCTTTGTGAAGATAACAAGCTATGTCTGTTAATTTATAGCCAATAACCATGCAGAAAAATAGATTTTTTCTTGTACCTCTTATAAGAAATGTTTTACAGTTTCATATTACACATTTAAGAGATTAAATATTTATGCAATATCACAGAGTTGGTAACTGTCACCAGTAGCAAGTAGTTTATGCTTAAGTCAGTCCATACATTGTTATATCCAAGACTATGAATCATAGGGAATTATGTATAAAATATTATTTCTGGTATTTGTCCATCTTCTATTGATGTTCCATTGTTGTTACCTGGTGAACTAAAAAAGAAAAAGCAGGTTTTGCTGGCAGTTGGAGATTCATGGATTACTTTCTTCAATCCTTTTGTGCCATAATGGGAATCAGGACCCTAATATAAACAGCAAAAGCAGTAGTGAGCAACTGAACCGGAGAAAAGGTAGCTACGTAGCATCAGCAAGACCCACAGAATATTATATTAGGTTCCATAAAATCTCTATATAGTCCTGCTATTTTACATGAAATCTTGAATTACTCACTTTACCAATATACTTCAGTTTCCAAATGCTACAGACCATGACAAAGTATTTGAACAATTACCTTCAAAAGGAGAATTTAGAGGCATGCGTCTGCTCTTGAACCAGACAGCTAGCAAGGCAGGGACATTTTAAATTGAGTTTACCATATAAACCTGACAAATTCAAGTGTAATGGCCTATCAAGCTAGTATGGTTAAGGCTTACCAGTTGCAATTGCAAACCACACCTAAGAAAAGGATGTGGCTAGCATCATGCCCAGCTGTTTTTGGCTTTTGATCGTGAATGACAAGGCACCCACTTAGCATTTGGGCTGACTAGGATCAGCCTTAGAAATTAGTGTAGAGCAAGACTCTAGTGCCATGACAGAGCAGAGAAGGCATCCTGCTAAGTAAGTGTAATTTAAGATATATGGACATTTGGTGCAATGCTTTTTCCTCCTTCCCCACTCCAGAACTATAAATTTTCCTTTGTATAGAGAATTAGTTAAGCCTTCCCAAATCACAACTATTTATTCTTTAGCAACGGACATAGCGGCCCTTTATATTTATGCAAGTACTTTTAAAAATGCATAACTCACATTTAAAACTGGGCCTAAAGAGAAAATTTCACTTTAAAGAAAGGAAAAGTTTTAGTCTACAACATAGCAAGAGTTGTAGGACTATAAATAAGTATTAAATTGATGTACCTACAGTCACTGTATAGATTAGGAAAGGAACAGTAAACGCTCCACATGCTTCCCCATGTCACTACTGAATGATAAAGCCAACTTTTATACCCATTTTTTACAATTAAACACTTCAGGGGGAAAAAATTACACAAAAGGACAGGTCCAAGTTTTGAAGCAAACTACCACTACTGCTAAATGAGAGGTATACATTCCCCCTTCTGCAAGCAAATTAATAGTTTTACAATGCATTAGGAATTAACCTTTAA